CACACACACACACACACACACACACATACACACATCCCCACGAGCCACATCCATCCACGGGATGTTTGGGTGGTTTGAGGGTCCTGGGAGTGTTTTGGGCTTGAGAGCCTTTTGCTCTCAAGGCTTTGGAGAGAAGGAAAACACCCACCCATCACTGAAGGACTGAGAAAACCCAAACCAAACAGATTCAATGAAAGAGAAGAAAACAGCTTAAAAATGGTTTTGATTTTTTTTTTTTTTAAACTTTGGTGAACACGTACTTTGTTGCTCTCTTCTGTCAAGCCCCTTCCCAGCCAACACTGATTTTTTTTTTTCCCTTGTATTTGTTTCCAGCCATCCCATATTACTGACCAGACCGATGGATTTGGTCCTGTTCACAGAATAAAGTCCTTCATTCCCCCTTGGCAAGGGGTGACTTTACCCCCTCAAGGAAAGCTGTCCATCACTGCCATGGTCGACTGGCACAAACCCCCAGTGCTGCTCCATCACTGCTCCCCAGCTTCCCTGGATCCCAGCCTGGGCAATAACCAGCCTCTGCAGCTTTCAGGCAAACGTATAGGGAATTATTTTAGCTATTTCTTTTCATTTGCCCTAACACTCACAGAGTTTCATTATTTTAAAACAGAAATAACCCTTAGAATCATAAAATCATTGGATGGTTTGGGCTGGAAGGGATCTTAAAGGTCATCTCGTTCCAAGCCCCCTGCCACAGGCAGGGACACCTTCCTCTAGACCAGGTTGCTCCAAGCCCCGTCCAAACTGGCCTTGAATATTTCCAGAGAAGGGTCACCCACAGCTTCTCTGGGCAACCTGTTAAATTTTGCTTCTCTTTTCATAGCTAAGGACGCAGAAATGCTCCCACTGCCACACCAGCACTGCAAAGCCTTGATCTCCTCCACGCGGAAGAATTCAAGGATGTATTCACACAAACAACCAATTTCTCACTTTCCTCTTAAGTCTAAGCAACACTTTTCATTTTCAATGAAAGCCAGTGTTAAAATAAACCTGTGTCTGGCGCTGGCCTGAGGATGGAACCTCCCAATACCTTCTTATTTAACCCTTTGCTGAGCCAGGTGGAACTAGCTAACCCCGCAGGGAAGGGGGAGGTGGGATGGAGCAACTAATTTATCCAAAACAACCAAGATCTGATTAATTATTTAATTACCTTCCAGGGACTCTGTGCGTGCTCCCTACCCAGGTTTTCCAGCAGGGACAGAGGCCACAGCCCAGCTCTGCTTTCAACTGGCCCATTTTCTCCTACAACTTCAAATCTACCGTGGGAAGAAATCTGCTTCCAGCTCCCCTCGACCACCGCAGATCCACTCCCCTGGTCTGAGGCTCCATGATCCTGCAGCTGCTCCCTTGGGCACCACCAGGGAGATGACATCCCCCTTCCCTGTACCTGGAGATGGTCCCACAAGGCATGGAGGAGGAGGCACCCAGATCCACAGGCACTGGTCGTCTCTGCCTAATTTTAGGCACTCACTTGGGTTTTACAAAGACCCCCTGGGCTCTTCCTACAGCTCCACTTCCAAAACACATTGGCATCCCCCCAGCCCCAGCATGGGCATGGATTAGCAGAGCTGTGGCTATGAGCAGAGCCGTCCTCACTGAGATTCCCTTCAGGTCCCACCTAAATCCTGATGGTTTCCAACATGATCTGGCTGATGCTGAGCCCTGCCAGCATCGACAGCATTTAAACACCGTTGTCATTTAAACATCCCACAGTCTGTGGCAGGGGTCCCGGGCATCCGTCCGTGGGTGTACCCAGCAGAGACCTCCTGCACCCCGAGAAGACCCCTTTCTTCCCAGACTCACACACACACACACACACACTCGCACACAAACGCAAAGTCAACACGGCTGCTGCATCATCACACCCGACTCCGAGTCGAGCATCACTCCTTGATTGTAACCGCGTAAGGCACAGGACAGATTGAAACGCCGCCCCCCCGGAGCCGCCGGCTGGTCCCACGAGCTCCAGAGGGGTCGGTCCCCTTGGGAACGGGGACACCCGGGTCCCCCCGACTCTGCGGTCCGAGGATCATCTCCTCCGGCTCGGCTGAAGGCCCTGTCTCTGTTCCTCTGCGAAAGGCAGTGATGGCCACTGAGCATCCGATTCCTCCCCCGGTCCTGAGGGTGCTGCCAGCACCGCCGTTGTGCTGGGGGGACAGACCCCATTTGCTGCACTTCCCCCAAGAGATCAGTTACACGGCGAGGGGGGGCGACCCCGGTACCGCTGGCGGCGAGGAGGTTACGTGGTCCCAGGCCAGCACCCGCACAGTCCGGGAAACCCCTCGCTCCGAATTCCCGGCGCCAACAGTCCCGAACGCAGCTTGAAAATCCAACAGCGCGGCGGGTGCCGAGGCAGCGACGAGCGAGAAGGGACCTGCGGGGGCCACTGCCAGGACAGCCCCGGGCAGGGGTCTGACCGCGGGTCCAGCGGCCGCCTCCGTCCCGCCGGCGCTTCCCAACCCCGCTGCCGGGGGCTCAGAGCCCGCAGTTGACGAAGGGGTGTCTCAGCAGGTCCTCGGCCGTCGGCCTCCGCTTCTCCTCCACGAAGATCTGCTTGAGGAAGTTTCGGCAGCAGCTGGAGACGCTGTCGGGGAGCTGGGGGTTGGTGGGCTGGGTGGCGATCTTGAAGATTGCCGCCATGGCCTCGAACTCTGCCCACGGCGGCTTCTCCGTTAGCATCTCCACCACGGTGCAGGCCACGCTCCTGCAACAGCGCCAAGCACAGGGGTGAGGCAGCGGGAAAGGGGCAGGGGTGGTGGCCCTGCAGGTGATGTCTGATCACCTGCCTGAATGGACTGTGTGGGAAGCAAACACACACGAGGTGAGCACAGGTCCCCCAAAGCTCCCTGGTCACACTTGGCACTGGGATTTCCACTCCCACAGCAGGAGTGAACTCAGGAGCCTTGCCTTAAAGCTGGTGGATTTTCTGCCTATGTTAACCATCAGATACTAAGTTTCATAAAACTGCGTGAGAGATCTTATCAGGGCATTCCCCTGAAGGGAAGGCCAGGCACAGGTTCAGACACCATAGTTTCAGCAATACTATGTAGCTCCCCAGGAAGCTGAGCCAGAATAAAACATGTTTGCTCATTCTCAACTGAGGTGTATCTGAGAAAGAACACATCAGATGAGCAGCAAAGAGCCTGTGAGGTTTCCCTCTGTGTGCTGAGGAGTCCTTGTCTCAGCAGGGACACTCTGCCACCTCCATTCATAGCTGATCCTAAAAAAATTAAACCACATTTCCCTTTCATCAGCCAGGGGAGGTGGTGCAGGGTACATGGCCGCCTGCTAAGGACTCCCTAGGTTTCCCCCACCAAATAGGGTTCTCTTGGAAGGACTAGTTTTTGTTGAACCTACTTGCTTGGGCACGCAATGGAAAGCACACTGAAGGCAGTACTTCCTCCTCATTTATTGCAAGGATTAATACTGTTATCCCAACTCTTTCAGGCTCCATCTGACATCCTTCAC